TGACCTTAGAGAAAACTTGGGAGAATGTAAATGTTGCTTTTCTTGAAAAAGGTATGTATGTGTGTGTGTTGCAAAGGAAATTCCAAATTTCAAAAATGTGGATTTCACAGACTGAAAATCCATGATGTTAATGTCATGTGGGGTAAGATCCTAGAGTAGCATTCATAAAGGGTGACTTATAGGCTCCTAGAAGAGAAAGCACGGATCATTAGAACTCTATATGGGTCATGTAAAAAATGACTGACCACATTTTCTTCATCGATTGACATGACTTAGATAAAAGAGCACTGTTAAATGCAAGCAAGTGCAAGGGGTGTGAAGCCTGGAAGGAAGAAGGCTTAGGGAGACAACAATGGCTGATATCAAGTATGGGAAGGACCATCACATGGAAGAGGGATCAGGTATCTGTGGGCTTCTCAAAGGCCAACGGGTAGGATAACTGGATACCATTCAGTACAAGGAAGAGCTTTCTAACCACTTACAGAGCGGGGTGCTTGCCCAGAGAGTGATTTCCCCATCTTTGTAAGTAGGCAAACAGAGCCTGGTCAATTACTTCTTGGGAAATGTTCTAGGAGAGATTAATGCATTCTTGTGTGGTTGACACTTTAAAAAATTTTTTTTTATTGATTTTTTTTTTTTTACAGCGAGGAAGAGAGAGGGATAGAGAGTTAGAAACATCGATGAGAGAGAATCATCAATCAGCTGCTTCTTGCACACCCTCTACTGGGGATGTGCCGCAACCAAGATACATGCCCTTGACCGGAATCAAACCTGGGACCTTTCAGTCCACAGGCCGATGCTCTATTCATTGAGCCAAACTGGTTTTGGCTGGTTGAAAATTAAGTACCTTCTGATTTTGAGCTTCTATAACCCTACAATAGTGTAGGTGCATATGGGAAGGACTAGGTTGGAAATACAGACATAGTGTAGCTAGTGAGTTGAAAGAAGACAGAAGAAAGCTAAATCACTTAATTAAGAAAAGAAAGTCATATAGTCATATAGTCTAGAAGAAGAATTCACCATCTTTTTAGCCCCAGGGTCATCCACAAATGGTATAGGGCTGTCCAAGAAAATTGCACTTGAAAGCAGGTCTCAAATCAACATCTTTCACTGGCTTTTGGTAAGGTCATCAAGGACAAAACTTTAAAAATAGAATTTTAATGATGACCAGAAAAGAGGAGGCCAGTGGGGTCCTTTCCCAGCAGGGCCAAATCACAGGCCTACTGGGTGGGGAGTGGTGGGCGAGGCACATGCTTGGTAGCAGGTCAGAAGGCCCAGGCCAAGAGAAAGTTAAAAAACAGTAATTAGAAAGGAAAGGAGCCAATACCGGTTTGGCTCACGGCCTGCGGACTGAAAGGTCCCAGGTTCGATTCTGGTCAAGGGCATGTACCTTGGTTGCAGGCACATCCCCAGTAGGGGGTGTGCAAAAGGCAGCTGATTGATGTTTCTCTCTCATGGATGTTTCTAACTATCTCTCTCTCTTCCTCTCTGTAAAAAAAATCAATAAAATATTAAATAAAAAGACTTCCAAAAAAAAAAAAAAAAAGAAAAAGGAAAGGAGAGGAATAATGTTAGAGGAAGGAAAGATAAAGGCAAACTTAACAGGCATATTTATCGTGAATGGGCAACTGCCTGGGCTCCCAGGGGTCTCTGGGCACCTCTTTCAGCTGGTTCTCAGGGGAGAAGAGAGTCACAAATCAGGAGATTGGGGTTCTAATGCTGGCTGTGCCCCAATTTCCTGAGTGACCTTGTAGATGTCATTTCACCTTTCTGCCTCCTCCCAACTGTCAAACGCCGGCATCCTGTCAGTCTAAAAGTGCTCTGGGCTTTACAGAAAAGAATAGCTCCAGAAATTCATGACATTGTCTGTATGTATGCTGAAGTGTTTGTCCTTGTTTCCATATTTTCACTGTTGGGGGAGGAGGCATTGGTAAGAGAAGGGTGAAAAGAAAGGTGAGAAGCCATTGGGGCCAAAGTGTCTTGGCTCTGCTTCATCAGCCTAGGGAACCCAGGGGACCCAGAGCTGGCAAAGGACACATGCTGGTGGCCCCTGCCCAGCCAGGCACCCGAAATCCGCGGACACCCCCCAGTTTCTGCTGTCCTTTCAGCAAATCCCATTGCAGCATGGAGGGAGGAAAAGTGAGGCACGCCCCTCCCCCACTAGATGGCACTGAAACGCCTCGTAGGCGATTTTCAAAACGCAGGGAGGAGAAAAGAGAGAGAGAGAAAAAAAAATATGGTGGAGGTGAGCTCATTTTGGCTTGCAGGCCCCATTGTGCAAAAAAGCACGCCGAAAACTCTTTTTTCTGGGGGCTGTTCTGAACGCAGCAGAGTGGGCCCTCGACTTTGGAGTAGGGTAAAATGAGGGGTGAGCATTAGAGTGAAAAATCTAGGGTTTCAACCTGGGGGAGGGAGGTAGGGGGAGAGAGGGGAGGCTCCCGGCCTTTGTGGCGATGCCTCATGTGAGCAGGGAGGTGGGATGAGGTGGGACGTGGCTGCGGCCCACCAGCTCAAGGCCTGGGGTCCCGCACCGCCTCCCAGAGCCTGGACAGAGCCCAAATCCAGCTGCCACCCCGAAAAGGACAAATCCCACACCCACGTTTCACTGAACCCACTCCCCTCCTCAAAACGCGAACCCCCCGAGCGTTTTCAAAATACGTTCAGCACCCTCTCAATTAAAATTCTCTTCTTGTCTTGAAGGTTCCAATTTCCTTCCTTTCTTCTTTTCCTGCTGAGGAGGGAGGTGGAAGTGGGTGTGTGTCGGGGAGTCTGGTTCTGGCGTGGGGCTGGCGGTGATAAACTGCGGACACCAGGCTCTGGAGCAAATAGCCAGCGAGACAGCGCCGGAGGGCTTTTTGGGGGAAAACAAAGATCAAACTGGATCCGAGACATCCGACGCAAACCGGGGACACAGCGAACTTCAGCCTCCCAGAATGCCCACTCCGCAATAAGCTGTCTTTTTCTTTAAAGAACTGTGGCTGATTTTGTGGGAATTTCCCACCGCTGGAGAGAGAGAGAAACGGGAGAGATGGAGGCTACCTTCCTAAATGTATAACAAATGCATGCACACATGCTACATACCACACGCATGTATAATGTGCATACATATGGATGTGATTAGGCACATACCTATCCCGACACCATTGACTTGCCTGGTCAAAGAATAAGGCTGAGACATGTCGTGCCTGGGAAAATGGTGCGGTTTATCTTTAAGGAGGCTAGAAAAATAAGCGATGGGGCTCACGTTGCACGGATGACATCACTAGCCTAGGGCTGCACGCTCCCGTGTTCTCGTCGGTGGGTTTTAGCCAAGGCTGCAGCGCCCGGCGCCCGGGAGAGAGCGAGCGCGCAGGCAGTGTCTTCCTCCGGCGCCCGCGCCCGGGCCAGGCGGTCTCCCCGGTCCTCCGGGCGCAGCCTGGGCTCCCGCTCCCCGGCACCAGCCTCGCCCGCGGAGCCTCGGAACCCCGGCGGCGGGGGCTAGAGGAGGCAGGGAGGGGAAGGCGAGCGACCCAGCCTCCCTCCCTCCCCCACCCTCGCCCCATCCACCTCGGCGACCACCGCGCGCAGGGAGCCTGATCGTGGGACGCGGAGGCCAGGACGCTCCTCTCCTCTGCGCGCTGCCTGCCGAGTGAGCCGGCGCCTGGGCCCTGGGTGGGCTGCGTAGAAAATGGTGCAATCTGAGAGCAGCTGATTGTACTTGGGCAAAAGCAGACACTGTGCGAGAGCGAGCGCCGGGCTCCGGTGGCGGGGAAGGGGCGGGCTGTTTGGAAGGGCCGGGCCTCTGTGTGCGGCGCCTGCAGCATTTTCCTTGCACCTGGGCGTGCGGCACGTTCCCGGGCTCCACGGGAGCCAGCCGGATGGAGTGAGTGAGGCGGCGGCGGCGGCACGAGAGAGGCGGGCCTGGAGGAGGCCGGGCGGACGCTCCGAGGAGAAGAAGACAGCGGCGGGGAGGCCGGCTGCATGACGCCCGGGGGACCGGCTGCCCGGCGGGCGGCGCGCAGAGATCGGGCGACCTGTCCATGGTGTTGAAGGCGCCGCGCGCCCAGCCCCGCGCCTCCCGTGCCGCGCGCCCCGCCGGGCGTGCGCCCTCCTCGGCTCAGCCTGCCCCCGGCGCCAGCCAGCTGCCCCCCAGTCGCCGCCAACCCCGGGCCGCGGTTCGTCGGGGAACGTCGTCCGGCCCGAGGGGAGGCTTGCATGGCCAGGCCGAAGGCAGAACCAGGAGCTCGCTGCGAAAGGTCGGCCGAGCCCGTGCGCCCGCGGGGAGCCCGCCTCTGAGCGTGGCGTGCCGGCCACACAGAGCAAGGGACCTGCTGCTGGGGATCGGAGGACGGGGATTTCTAAAAGAAAATAACCTTCCTTGGCAGACCAAAAGGGGGAGAGCCGCTGAGAGGGAGACATAGGCGGGACTCAGGGCAGCCAGCCTGGCATCCAGAGGTCTCCTTCGCGGACCGGCCGTTTCTCCGGGGTTCAGTGCATCGTGTCATTGAGGAGCGCCTCCTGACAGCCCGCCCTCACCCCAAGAAATCGCTGAGTGAGTGGGCCTCATCGTCGCCTTCCTAGAGAAAGCCCAGCGACCCCACTGCAGCTGGGGGCTCTTGGGGTTCAGTTTCCGGCCGGAGGGCTGCGGCGCCCGGAGCTGGGTGCGGATTCGGCCGGGTCTGAGCCATCGCCGCCTGCGGGGCGGAGAGGAGCGGAGGAGGCGGCCTTGCCTTGCTCGCTGCCGCCCGAGGCTGCACCTGTGCCCCGGAGGATGCCCAGGGACCCGCTGGAGCCCCTCCGGATCAGAACTTTGTAGGCTGCGCGCCCCCACCCCAGGGCTCCCGGAGCCGCGCGCAGGCAGGCAGGCGGGGGGCGACGGGGAGCCGCCGCGAGTCCCCTCCCGTCCCCGCTTCCTCCCCTTTGGCTCGGCCGCCCGCCCGCCGCTTTGTTCGGGGCGCGCGGAGGGAAGGCGAAGCTGCGGCGGGTCATGCCCACGGTGTAGCGGCGAAGGAAGCGGAGGCATGGCTGCCGGAAGGTTACTGCTCTACACGGGCCTCTCGCTGGCGCTCTGCGCCCTCGGCATGCTGGCCGTGGCCATCTGCTCGGACCACTGGTACGAGACGGACGCCAGGAAGCACCGGGAGCGGTGCAAGGCCTTCAACACCCGCCGGATCGACCCGGGCTTCATCTACAACAACAACAACAACTTGCCGCTGCGGGCGAGCCGCTCGCGCCTGGACCGCTGGGAGGGCAAGCTCCTCCGGGCCCGGAACCGCAGGCAGCTCTTCGCCATGAGCCCCATGGACGAATGCAGCCGGCAGTACAACTCCACCAACATGGGCCTCTGGAGGAAGTGCCACCGGCTGGGCTTCGACCCGGAGATCGAAGCTCTCATTCGTAAAGGTAAGCACCAGCCGCGAGGCGTGGCGCTGCGGACAGCCTGGCCCCAGCTAGGCCCGCAGCCCTCTCCCTCCTAAGCCTGGCGGAGGTCTAAACAAGCCTCGTGGGGCCTGGACGTCAGGTTGTCAGGCTCTCCCAAACCTCCGAGTGGCCACAACTCGCCTCCCCATAGCTGGTGATAGAGGCTTACCTCTCCCCCTTCCTACACGTCTCTTGTCTTGCATTTGTCTGGTGAGATTCTCATGGTCCAGGATAGGATATAATGCTGAATCAATCTCTTAAAAGGGAGGGAATCTGTAATGTGCTGTTAACAGAGGAAGCCCTTTAAGAGTGCTATGTTGGGGTAGTCAGGCTCCTGGTTTTAATCTTTTTTAGATTTTGAACTGATTCATCAAGGGAAAGTGGGGGAAACATCTCAAGCAGAAGGCCTAATGGATGCCAGGAACGTTTGCTGAGTGTTGTACTCTACCAGGCATGTTGCAGGCATTGGTCATATAAATATCAACAAATTCCAGCTCCTGCCCCATGGCAGCTCAAGGCCTGTTGACCAGTGGCATCATACCACCGTTCTTGATTTCTCCTTTTGAGAAAGTGGTTGACAAATGACTTGTGTGCATGCAATATTTAGCAGGATCTGACAAGCACAAAAAAGTAGTTTTTCAGGTAATAACAAAGTGGGTACTGCAGAGAAAAAAAAGAATACCATACCAAAGTGTACCAAAATAGGAAAAAACCCCAGTATTTACAAACCATAAAAATTTGATACTTTAGTATGATCACATAGATTTTAAAGTCTGCTTTAAAGTGAAATTTATAAATTTTGCATGACATATGCTTTGGGGGCCATCCTGTTCCATTAACCCACTAAAATAGACTTTAAATATATTTTTATTGATTTCAGAGAGGATTCGAGAGGGAGAGAGAGAGAGATAGAAACATCAATGATGAGAGAGAATCATTGATCGGCTGCCTCAGGCCTGCCCCCTACTGGAGATTGAGCCTGCAACCAAGGCATGTGCCCTTGACCAGAATCAAACCTGGGACCCTTCCGTCTGCAGGCTGACGCTATATCCACTGAGCCAAACTGGCTAGGGCTGGATATATATTATATTGCTCTTCTATGGTAGCAATGTCTTGGAAGATGTGGTGTGATCTCAAGAGTCTTCTTTTTTACTCCCTGCTATGTTTCATTTTTTTCAACTATTAAATGGTGGTGGTAAGCTGAAAACAATGTTATTCATCAGCAGCCTTTGAGGCCAAGATATAAAACAATTCTTAATGACTCTTAATATTATAATGGAGGTTTGATCTGTTTTTAAATATAATTGGTGAGAACAGATGTTCTTTAATTTATTAAAATGTTGAAGTGGATAAAAACTGTTAATAAAAATGTCAGTTGTTTAAAAATGTCAGTTGTTTAAGTCTGGTCTTGGTGGCCTTTCAGATTTAGGTGAGGTAAGTCCAAACAGAACTCATCTTAATGCTTATGTTGTAGATTCTGTAGAATGACTAGGGGTTTTAGCTAATTTCACTTCGAGTGTGTTAATCTGATAAACATCACATCTGTTTCATGTTAGGCCCTTTTTAGTGCAAGGTGACCCATCTGGAGCTCCACAACTTTGTAAAGACATATGGAATTAGAGAATTCCAGAAGAGAGCAACTCGGGTTTGGATTTTGGGAAAAGAAGAGCAAGCAGAGTAGTTTTTGACCATGGGTGACTTAATAGTAGTTTTCAGATTCTCAGATTCATAAAATGTTGTTTTATCCCTTATTTTCTGCTTTCATTAAAATCGGAATAGTAGGAAGTTAACCGAAATGTGAGGAAGAATTCGTGTTAATAATGACTGATAAACACTCGTAGGATTTACTGAAGGACATTCTTGAATTTCCTACCTCGAACGTCTCCTGAAACAAGACAGGTGTCCTTCCATCTGGTAATGGTTAACCCCACTTAAAAAAAGGAGGGTGGCATTCATGGCTTCTGATGGTTGCAATGAGGGCTCTGATTCCCTGTTGCTCTGCTTAGCAATCCAGCTAGAAAGGTTGACTTGGTCTGTGCACCAGAGGGATTGGTTACCATAGTGACATGTTCTTCCGGTGAGCTGGAAACACAGTGACAGGGGAAGGGATAGGGGAGGAATGCACAACATTTTGACTGTGTATTGACCAATTTTTAATTGCAGCAACAGAAAATGGACATGGCACAGCAGGGGGATTGAATGCACTGATACCTAGAGTTAGCAGGGCATTGTATTTCATTCCAACTAATGGACATCCTGTTCCCCATCACCCAAAATATAGCAATCAATGTCAGCTGCAAGCACCCGATCACCATGGCCGTTCTGTCCATTTGACATTCTTGTTAGGTATTATTGAGATAGATGGCAAGCCAGCATTACAAATCTTCAGAGGCTTAAGGTCACTATCTTAATTTTTAACCTCAAAACAGGACCTTTGAAAGCCAGATCTTCTATAAGCAGCAATAGAAACATTTTGGAAATAAGCACATCTTTTATTAATAGAACTCATAAGCCATTCCAATAATATACCGAATATAATTCCTAGATTTAATCAGTATTCTTCCCAAATAGGCAGATTTTAGAAGGAATTTTAGAAAAAGAAATGAATATCCCTATAGTTAGATCTAGGGCATCTTAGGGAAATATTTTTATCTCACAGTGTTCATTGTCAGCCTTCAAAGATATCTTATGCCTTTGTCTTTCTTTGAAAAATCATGGAAAATTAGAGCTTTATCTAAATGGTCATACAGCTCCTGAGAACTGAACCATTTGTTAAATTAACATTCATTACATTAGAAAGTGCTGTTTGTGCATTTAAAAACAAAACAAAATCACATATTAAGAAATCAAAAGTTGTCCTAGCCAGTTTTACTCAGTGGATAGAGCATTGGCTCCCGGATTGAAAGGTCCCGGGTTCAGTTCTGGTCAAGGGCACATACCTCAGTTGCAGGCTTGATCCCTGTTCCTGGTCAGAGCCTGTGCAGGAGGCAATCAATCTGTTTGTCTCTCTCCTATAGATGTTTCCCTCTTTCTGTCTCTCCTCCTCCCCTCTAGTCTCTCTAAAAATCAATGGAAAGATATCCTCAGGTGAGGATCAACAACAACAACAAAAGACAAACAAAAAAAGATAACAAAAGTCAGATCCATATTTGATTTGAAGATTAAGTTTTTTGGACTCATGTTCTTTCTGAAATCCATGTCTTCAGTGCCCAGCCGCTGTAACTGTACCCACAAACACACATTTCTGGTCACTGTGTGTGGGTTTGTGTCATTGAACCGTACGTTCCTGGAGGGCAGGAAAGATAATCATTTGTAAAATACAGCCACCTGATGGGTGCTACTTGGGAAATATCTCATACAAATTAGGTTCACAGAAATGTATCTATCAAGTGCTTTTTCTAATTGTAGGAACACTGGAAGAAACAAAGAACCAGTGTGGCTCTCAGGGCAGGTTAATATTGTAACATGCCATAGGATTTAACCAGAAAGATTTTTTTTTTTTTTTTTTGAGCAAAAGCTCTGTTAAGGAATAAGGGAAACACAATACTTTTTTGGGGGGGGAGGGGGGTAACATATATCATCAAACAGATACAAAATCACTCACAATCATTATTTTTCTCATTAGATTATATTTTAACCATTTCCTTCTTGGAGGTATGTGCCACGTCAGCACACTGCCAAGCGTTCATTCAGTGAGCCTGAGCAGGGGCGAGAAAGGATGGAGAAATGAAAGACAGTGAGAAAAAGTTGGGTCTAGGTGGATCTTCCTGCCTGGCTGAGGCCATAGAGCAGAGCCAGACTGCAAAGTTGATGCTTACTTATAGTCAGGGGTAAATAAGGTAATTTATAATGATCTTATAAGTTTCACTTGTTTTGGCAGCACTTGCTGCCCCTCCCACAGCTCACTAGCTACCCAGGAAAGATCTAGGGAGCAGTCACAAGATCAAGCTTAATTATGCTTAGAGGACTGTGCCCTCCAAGCTGGGACTTGTTTGTGACTTTGCCAGCAGGTCAGTCCGAGGCTTAACCCTATAACCACTTCCTACAGAGGTAGGATTGGGTAGAGGGTGTAGCAAGGGTAGAGTACCCTTGAATTCCCATATGACGGTGCCCATAATCAGATCTCTGTCTTCTTGCTGTTCAACCTTGTCCATGTCTCTCTAGTAAGTCACTGCAAGCACAGGGGGCAGATCAATGACAGGATCAGTTTCTGAAAACCAAGAGACTTTCAGATCTTTAGGAGGAGCAGCTACAGGTAGGATTTTGTTCCCGGGAACATTTAAATTCTTTGATTTGTACTGAAACACTACACTTGAAATAAGTAGACCTGCAGTTGAGATTCTAAGAACTTTTAAAAATCATTTGATAACAGGTCTTATAATAGAATTTGACCTACATAGTTAAATTTCATTTACTTTAATACAATATTATACATAGCCACAAATTAATAATGTATTCAGCAAATATTTGCTGTGCACATATTATGTGATGGGCACACATCACCAGGATGTTTTGAGTGCTATGTGGGCCTAATGCCTCTAAAAATACCAAGCACATACTTTGTTCCAGGTGAAGATAACTAAACCTGTTAACTTGGGCTTAAATTTAAGTATATCATTCTACACTTGTGAAGAAAAATTACTACTTGAATATTTTGGGAAAGAAGTTTTTAATTTTATGCTACGTCTATATTTTATTAATTATCCCATCTTTGACTCACAGGATTCTTTTTCTCTGTCCCCTCCCTGTCCCAACTTCATTATAAGTTTCTGGCAAAGTCGACTTGGTGGGAAAGATGATTAATAGTAATAATTGCCAATGTCGATACCAGGTACTCTTCTAAGAGTTTACATATATTAGCTAATTTATTCTTCATAATAATACTCTAATATTATTATTTTACCCCTACTTTATAATTGAGGAAACAGAGGCACAGAAATGCCAATGAATTTGCCAAGTCTCGTGAAGGTGCTGGATTCGAA